CAACTTAAAACAACACCGAAACATATGGAATATAAGGTTATATTTTCCCCATATTCAAAGCATAAGCAGATCTGCCATTTAGTGATGACCAGAGGCGTAGGGTTCTTTCTGCATTTTTAGTGTAGGATTCGCAGATGTATATCAAGCTTTGTCGAAGTATTTGCAAGTGGCCGCTATCACCTCTTTACGCATGATTCACTGAGTCTTTCAGCAAATCATATCCGCTTGTTTGCTTTCCGTTGTCTGCCTTCAAGACTGGTCAAAGCTCAAGACAACGTTGTATACGGTTGGTCATAGTCGCATAGACAAAAGGGCAAACCGACTATGTGCAACCTCTCATATACCGTGACAACTGCATGCAAAATGCAAGACACACCACTTCTTCAAATCCTCCATAATCTCACACGACAGCTGACGCTCGAGTATAAAGGTTGAGTTTCAGCTTCCCATCTTAATGTAGTGGAGAAGCCATTCTCTCGAAAACGTAATTTAGTAAGGATGTTCCCAGCTTGAAAATAATATAAACTGCAACATCTTAAAGCCGTTGCACCAACGGCGGCAGCACCAGCGGCACATATCCGTCTTTAGAGCCTTTAATTTAATAACGTAGCGACGTGTGCAGGAAATTTTCACGTCTAGCAACAGGAAGTGGGCGACTGGGACGCGTAGGGGAAGAGTGGGACATCGAGCGTGAACGTCATTATTACAAAGTAATTCAGAAAGGTTGCGTGTAACGTTGGCTGAGAAGGTAAAGGAAGTGTGAAGCTTGATTGTAAGTTTGAATCATGTGAGTTGAATTATATTTAGTAATAAGAGAGTAGGCAAATTACTTCGTATAATTGGTATGGATGCCTTGGGTCACAGGGCAGCGGTAGTAGTGATAGGGAGCGAAAAACATACATGAACCACCATGAAGGCCTGAGGCCTAAACGGCCATGGGACTATACGAGGATACAGGGGCACGGAGACATGTCACACGGATTCTCATGAGGGAAGACGTGCGCATGTGTAATGCACACATTCTGGCCCTGCCTTAGGGATCCACTGGGTGGTAACCTTTATGTATGACAGTCCGAGATGGCTACAACCTATGGCCTACTCTTTTTAAGTCCCTATACGCCTATTCATTCACTACAGCATCGACATAGCTTATACCAAATCCAGGCTAGGGAGGGATGCAGGAGCCCCTAGCCCCAGTCTGACCAGATGATCAGATCTTCTATTAATCGGTCACTGTATTCGGGGTCATGAGTCAGACCCGTTAATGTCTCCAGGATTTTGTTTATCTCTAAAGGCATTAGATGCTTAGCCATAGATACTGCACAAAACTCCAATTAGACCCAGGTCCCATAATGGGTGAACTTGTTTCTCTTCTTGACTGTCCTATTCAGGATAAGGATGAGGAAGGATCCAACCAGCATGTCTTGGTACCAATACTGAGCAGATTTATCCCCTTTCATTACTGTCGAGATTGTGGAACAATCTACAAGAGGATATTTCCAGTTCCACCAGCATTAGGCAGTTTACATATCAGATTAACAAAGTCAAAGCGGTCGTATCGACCAGTTCTGGACATACGAAGGTCGACACGGTTATGATGGTAGGCCAAAGTCAGGCGGGTCTGCCTGCCAGGTACATCCTGCGGCGGCATCATGGAAGAGAGCTCTGAGGAGCAAAGCCCATTGGTGTAGCGGTAGAAGAGAGCTAGATCTCCGACGGCCCGCCGGTGCGAAAGGGTCCCGAGACTGTCTGTTAGAGAAGAGTGATCGATCAGTCGGACAGCCCTCCTCTGGAGAGCATCGAGCATAAATACTGTAGTCGGGGCGGCAGTACCCCCCAAACGTATCAGCTCATACTCGAGGCTAGGCCTTATCGGGGCATATTACAGAATGACAAGGTCATGCGGAGAAAAATACTTCCTAGCCCTAAACAAATAGCATAGCTTTTTCGCAGCAGCTGTCGCTATTGACGAGATGTGTTCGTGCCAGATCAAGTTCTCGGTGATCTGAGCTTCGCCCAGCCGAAATGAACGGCTCTTTGGCAGAACTCGGCCATCCATAGAAACCGGATGAGTGCTAGGACGCTTTTTGTACTGTGTTTTGGAAGCATTAAACTGTACAAGATTGTTGAGTCCCCAGGTCTCTCGTCAGAGAATAAGTCGTCGCTAGTCTTCTTTTCTCCAGCTCAGTGGCACAGATCGGCTTGTCACTCTGAATTCCTCCAGCTGTGGGTTGACTTGATCGTGCAAGAAAGGAGGTCGTTGATATGTAAGAAGAACAGTGTCGGAGCCAAGACAAATCCTGGGGAACACCCGGGTTGACGTTGTGGGATGAAGAGAAGAACCCGATAATTACGACGGATATCTTGCGGCCAGAAAGAAAGTCAGCCACCTATCTGCAAAGCTTTCCTGGGAGGTCATAGGATGGAAGTTTGCATAAGAGGGCAGCGTGCCACAGCTGTTCGAACTCTTTTGTGATATTAAGAGGCGCGACATGAGCCTCACCATAAGACTGAATGAGTTTACTCGACAATTGCGTACCGTAAGCTAGAAGGTCTCCTGTGGATCGCTGTTGCCGGAAAACATACTGCCTGTAGCTAATCATGCCGTGAAGTTTGAGGTAGTGCAGAAGCTCGCGATTTATGCACCTCTCCATCACCTTACTTACAACAGAAAGCAGAGCTATATGCCTATAGTGGTGAGGGTCGGTCTCAGATCCTTTTTTTGGGATAGGTTGGACATGAGGAAGTTTCCAGTTTTCTGGGAATGTGCCAGATTCATAAGACATCTGGAAGAGACGCGAAAGAACTCTAGCGAGCCCCGCTGCACACCTCTTCAGTACAATGACAGGAATCAAGTCCGGACCAGAAGCTTTGTTGATGTTGCGCGACAAGAGCACTAGTCTTACGGCCTTATGCCTGAATGTAACTTTCCCGCGTAGTATAGGGGAACCTTCGAAGTGACAACACTTGAGCGTTGTGGGGACGTCCATGGTGAAGTTGGCAGCAAATATCTTGGCAATCACTTCCGCCTTGGCCTTTAAATCGGTTAGAGTCGTTCCATCCTGACACGTAAGCGGTGGAAGGCTTACTGTGTGAAAAGATCTTTTCAATCTGCTTAGCCAGCGTCCGGAAAGACCGACTGCCAGTGCGCTGCGACATTACCTCGTGCCTAACCTTTGTGCTGTGCTAATTTTTGACGTTGCGACCCGCTTCGTTATATTTGTTTCTGGACTCGAGATCGGCTTGTCTGTTTTCTACAGTGGGGTTTTGTAAGAAGGTTCTGCCTGCCTTGATCTTCTGCTGGCGAGCAGTGTCACGCGATTTGTTGATGCAGCCGTTGGACCCTGGTTTAGGCACTTTCACTGTACGAGAGATGTATTCCTCCATTCCGACGTGGAAAATTTCGAAAAACAGACAGCCGACGCGTCCGCGTCAGCAAAACAAAAATTTTTCGAGGAAAAGTAGAGATGAAGTCTCTGAGCCCGTCCCAGTCGGCATGTTCGTAATGCCAAATTTTGCGGCTTGGGCGAGTTTCTGCTGCTACAGCGGGATCTGACCGAAGCTTAACCTTCACAACACCGTGGTCTGAGTTACCCAGTGGGGACAGGACAACAGTGTTGTAAGGGACAGGATGCGTGGTCAGGAAGAGATCCACTGGCATGTGACGAGACGCGGAGGAAAAAAGTAGGTCTCGTCACTAGCTGGGTCAGCCATTGAGTCAGAGCGAACGCTTCAACTGCACGACCTGCTGCATCGGTCTTGTTTGAACCCATCCAAAGCTCATTATGGGAATTCACCGAGGAGAACTACCTCTGAAGCGGGGTGACTGATGTTCAGGAAGTCGATCTTGACCGAGAGGCATTCAAATAGGTCATCCCAGTTATGGTCCGAGGGAGAGCGATAAAGGCAGCAAATAAATTTGGGGGATGTTTTGGTTTTGAGGCGAAGCCACAGAATATCCTTCCAGTCTGATTCCAAAGAGACATCTCTGGAGCAGGAAATACTGCTGAGGACAAAAGCCATAACTCCCCCGTTCTTTTGTCAGATTGGGAAGTTAGGATGGTTAGTCGGTGTAGACTTTAAGATTTTTGTCCCGCCAAGAAAAGCATGGCGGGACGATTGGATTGCAAGTAGTGATAGACAGCATTAATCTTGCTGTTAATCTCGCAGAAGTTCGAGAAACAAATTTTATCTTCGATGTTGTTTCCTCGAGTCCACCCTACACTCGAACATTTCGAGAGTGGAATGAGTTTACGTCCGGAGTTCTTAGTACTCGAGGGATCCATCATCATCTTTGTTGGGGAAGATAACCGACTGCGTACCTTAGGTGTGGAAACATGCGGACATTTATATGACACCGTGGGATAAGCTGGCGGGTGGTACCGCCAAGGTCGACTGGTCCTTGCCTACCTTCTTCTTTTTCGTGTTGATGATGTTAAATAGACCTAAAGTGGCCCCTTGGGGTCCTGCTGTCTTATTCGGGTCAGCGTCCCTAGACCGGCAGCCTTCGCCACGGCTCAAGGAGCCCGGTCTACCCCTTGACAGCTGCCCACCTTGGAACAGACGCTGTCAAAGATTGGTTATCCGATTTTGGTCGATCATACCGGAGAGACCCTGACTACTTATACCGCTTGTCATTTCCTCGTCTGTTATATAATAACAACGGGTTGCACCACTGAGAAGGTGAGGCTGGCAGTTGTGTATAAGAGGGTATTTCTTGCGCGTCAATACACCTTACACCCCTCATAGCAGCCGCGGTACTCTGCTTCGGTGTCAAAAAAGCAAAAAGGACAAACTACCGTAGTTTTTGTGAACATAAACAGTATGACGTATTTATTAACCGTTCTCCTAAAAATAGAAATCAACGAGTATAAACAGGTGGATCGCCAAGCTCACGAAGTTTCTACTCCAGATTTATTTTGACATAGAATACATTTCTAGTAAGTTCCAAATTACTGTAGTTCTACGTAATATAGGTACGACAAGTTGTAAGTACTTACAAACTACGTTTAGCTTGAAAGAGTCTTCTAATCCTACACCAACGAGTTTTGGATTCTCTCCTATACATTTGAAGATGCTACCATCATCTTCTGGTACTGGCACAAAAGTTATTGTCGATTCGGATACAGTCTCATTTCCGTCTTCAACAACCTGAAAGTGCAAAACTTATGTCAACAAAAATTGAATAAAGAACATTTGAAGTTCATGCTATGCTTAGCGATATAAATACCAATTTTGTCGGAAAAATTGACGCATATTCAAGACAACTGCAAGTCAAAAAGATAATGTCTCCTTGAAAGGACGCATGTTATACTTTTTGTGGATTTTTCAAAAAATATGATCTGGCGTGTAGTACTTTAACGAACTTGTCTTAGGCAGTGAAGAATCTGAGTTTAAAATTTTAGATGACTCAACATAAATCAGATTGTTTCGTTAGAAACGGTTTTTCACATACCTTCCCTCTCCGAAATATTCGAGTATCTCTGGTCCAGGATATCAGCGCTTTTGGTCTTGATCCAACCACAACACATTTCACAGATACTTCTTCATTTGCTACTAGTTGCTTCGGTTTGTTAATAACTTCTATACTTAGCGGTTTCACTGCAAGACAAGAAAATAATTTGTTAAAAAATTCGAACAACTAAAAAGGAAATGAACCATCTAAAAGAAAAAGAGATCTGAAAGAGAGAATTGAAAAAGTTAAAGAAATTAATGTTGGGCAGAAACAACCGAAAAGAGAAGATGCAGTGGAGTAAATTAAAAAGTAAAGAAAGTAAGCATTGGAAGCAAAGGGAATAAGGAAAGTGAAAAAGGTAAAGAAGTAGAAGTGAAAAAACAAAAGGGGGGATAAAGCAAGCGGGAGAAAAAAAAATATGGACTTACAAAGTAGCTCCAGTCTGACGGTTTTCTCTACTGGCATCATTAACTTGGTGTTGCTAGCTTGACATTTGTACGTAGAGTTAAGTTGTTGTCTGGTGATAGCTGATACTTCTAATCTATTAACTGTAACATGGTTTCCGATGGCTTCTACATGACCAGAAACCATGCGTTCGTTGACGAACCATGAAACTGTGGGAGGAGGGCGACCTGCAAAAAAAATCACTATGAGCATCAGCTATGTCTGTATAATTAGATATGAGGTCCAAAGGACTTAATGGAGTTTTTTATCAGCTAGGAGGTGCCTAGCTACTATTGAAGAGATTCTTAAACGTTTCCCTACATTACAAAATCATGATCTGAAAGCATATATTAAATTATGCGTGGCTCGATAATTGTATCTTGCAATGGCTTCAGAATAAGCGTCCGAGGAATATGGCCAATATCAATTGCTATGTTTAAAATATAGATGTTGATTGGGAATTGAAGATTTGAGTGCTTCGGACCAATGTGAAAGCCCTCCAGCTAGTGGATAAACATAATGTTGCCTGTCGACTGAAGCAATTCATATGAATGGTTGTGTTCGTAATGATCTTCGGAGAACTTTCGGAACTTTATATTCAAAGCTGCACAACAAACCTCCTGTCCTTTAAAAAACATGACAATTGAAATGAAAGAGAAGGTATAACGGGAAGCTCCTTATGTGGCACAGTATATTTCAAATTAAGTGAAGCTGGCAGCAGTGTTGAACCTTTAATTTAAAATTTTCCCGTGTGTCACGTTTCACTCCACACTGTCATATCGTATTTCATATCCGCGTGGAATTAACATTTAAATAGAAAGAATAAGAGGTCCCGCATGTAGAGCGGTGAAGTCGACTCAATGGTGGCGACATTGCTTAGCGAGGAATACGTTTCGCTACTTTTACTAGCATTCCCAGACCCGAAGTTGATTGTTCACAGTGCTTTTTCAGTTTTAAATTCAAAGATCATAATATACTGTTTCTTCAAAAAGAAATAACACTTGTCTGTTTAATTTTGTTTGGGCCTCCTCAGTGTTTCAACACACTCATAGCATAATCAGACTAGCTTATCTGTATACAAGTCTAATCATATTAGACAAAAATACGGTTTGCGAAATAATTGTAAAGTCTGGTTTTATTGCTGCTAGTTGTCCAAGGGGGTATTGAAAATATGGAGGCCTAAAATGGGTATACCAGTTTTTGTGAGAAAACTTATTATTCGACAACAAAGAATGAGAAAACGTGTTCTTTGGGAGTCAATAGAAACAGTTGACAGAAACGAAACAACTCTTCATATAAGATTTTCAGGTATTTATGAGACCTACAAAATGAGACTACACGTGAAAAGATCCGACTAATAGCAAAAAAGTTATGGCCGAAAACCGAGACAAACTGCCGGTTTTGGCACTTGTATTCTTCAAATTTGTAGCATTCGTACTTCTAAATAACCACAACAAGATTGGTGTAGATGGGTCAAGTGCTTTTTGAGAATTTCTAATTGTTTATCCCAAAACACCTGTTTTCCGACCTCCACTACTAGTTTATTGAGCAATATACAGGGTTAGTTTAAAGAGCATTTTATAGCAAAATATACTAGTTTACCTTGCCGATATGAATTGCAGATCATTCCGAAAGTTAAATGTTATTTGAAAAGTTTTTCTGGTAGGTTCTGAACCATTCTTGGGGGTGAATATGGCAACCCTGTTTCAACAAAATAATTAACGCCACTGATAATATAGAATCTGTTACGGATTCGCCTTACGTCTTACATAATTCTATTTCAATGAAGGACATTTGGGAAGTGCGCCCAAGCAGAAACTCGGGAAGTTTTTATTTTGTCATTCATAATGCAACTCTACAGCTCCAGTAAATGCCTTTTTCCATTTTCTTTAGCGGAAAAAGATTTAATGATATGCTATGAGAAATATTTCAAGGATTTTTAGTAGTAGGCCGTGGTTATAGTAAAGAACATAATCAGACCATCCTGCAGTGCGGCTAACGAATACTGGAATATTTTTCTGTGATACTTCAAACAGTGAAACCAGATTTTTAAAAAGTCATAGGACAAGTTAAACAGCCATGACTTATACAATAACTGAGAATGCAAGATTCGCACAAGATGGTTCGTTTTTTAGATATCCTATATGTTGAACTATCAGCTCTATCTATGGAGAAATGGTGCAACTGCCGTTTTTGGTGACATTTTCCTAAGCTACTACAACCCGTCTTTCGCTAGCTTGGTTTGTGGGGTACAGGCTCATAGGATACTATACATTGAGAAGAAAATTTATCTGACGGTTTGAGTCCAATGTGTACGAGAGAGAAGTGTATATATACCAATGACGTCTTACCCAAATAGGCCAGGAATGTTTACAAAAGTTCTTCCCCTACAACAATCACTCTTTTTTGCGATGTCGCCAAATAAAGTTGGCCCCACGGTCGTTTGAAATTGGCTCCATGGTATCCACAACTAGCCAAATGACCTATTTATGTTGCATAAAGGTTCTTCTAGAAGAAATTTATGTATATTCTTACATACCTATAATAATTTATAGAACAAGTGAAGAATACGTGAATTTTAATACAAATCGAGGTATAATACAAACCAGAGTATTTTCTGCATATTTGTGATTAACGTTTATATACGGCAATGCTGCACTTGGTTGTAAAAGCATTGTAGTAAGAGTGAGTCATCGCCTGTGAATCTGTGCGTGTTCCATGTTTTCGCCGCCATTTTTATTTTGTGTAAAAATTGCTTTTATCCGTGTGCTATACCCTTGATCTTCTTGTGTTTTTAAGTATTCTTTAGACTTTTATTAAATTATGGTGAGACAAAAGTGTTTTTTGTGTAAGGTTGAGGCTGGGAAAGCAGGAAGTGAAGGGATATGTTTTCACAGGTAAGGTTATGCTTACGATTCTGCTCATTGGCGTGGAGTGCATCATTCTCCCGATCCACTCCGTATTTTATGTTCTTTACATTTAAAACAGTGTTTAAAAAGATTTTCATAGCATTCTTAAACCTAAGGCAAAAAACTGCAGTTTTTTATAAGTGCCCATAAATCACCCAAGAGCTTGAATAAATATATCGTTTAACACAAATGCTCGTACAATGCATCTTACTTGAATCTCTAGTTTTCATTCCAGACTACCTGCAAATGAAAAGCAGAGAGAGAAATGGATGTCTCTCTTGGAACTTACCGGGCTAGAACCTCAATCCCACAAAGTGGTTAGAATATGCTCAAAGAATTTTTTGCAACAAGATTTCACTACTGACTCTAGTGGCAGAACTTGGCTAAAATCTGGAGCTGTTCCAAAGCCCATTTGACCAGTTGTTTCCTCTCAATGGTAAGAATTTTATACACCCACAAAATGTTTTTTAGATTATTTTGCCCAAGGCCACCTTACGCTATGTAGTTGGATACACAGGAAGTTCGGGACCTGAGTCCGATGTGGCTTGAGCCCCCAGGTCAAAGCGCGGAGTGAGGGGAGGGAAGCTTGAGAAAGTGGGACCATTTTGCGCCCCCAGCTGTTTCTCGCGGACACCGGGACGGGAAAAGTCAGCTGTCCCAGTCAATTCGGCACGTATAGTAACGTTAGATAGACCACCTAGGCTCATGAATTATTTATTGTGATTACACATTTGAAATTAATTTATTGAGTCGCGCGAAAGTAACTATTGCATTATTATACATTACACTACTTCCATGCGAGCGAAGCCGCTTTAGGCTAGGTTAAATATAATTGCTATGTTATCAGCTTAAACATTTTCATATTTTGCACATTTTCAAATCCGTGCAATGTTCATTGCCAACTGCTTATTGTTAACATAACTTATGCTGGTGTGTGATGTCCCATATTTACAATTGTTAGGAATATTTTTTGTTGACACATTTCCTATTAAGAATGTCAAGAAAATTTTATTTTGCATTGATATAAAATATTTTGTAAAGCATCAAATAAGCATTTTTTTAAGTAGGTATTTACTGTGTTTTGTTACTTGTATATTGGGGTCTTGTACCTACCTCAAAAGGCACACATTTTGCTATTTTTGTTTACAATCATAAAATGAAAGCACAATGTGTAAACACACTTCATTTTTTGCATTGATGGCCGATGATTAAAAGTATGAAAAGCGGGGTGGAGGGAAGGAGGGTTGCATGCTTTTTGTTGGAGACACCATGACCGAAAAGAGGGACATTTTTATGTCGCCAGGTTTTGTCAGGAACGGTAGGACAGAGTCCAAAAGTGGGACGTATGGACACCTTAATAATAGCATACCTACAAGAAAGACGTTTTTTGTACCTCCAATATACTGAGAAATTCATTGGCTTTTATAGCCCTTCATGGCCTACATTGTGATACGCCTATGGCGGGAATTCCCTACTTGACCTTGAGCGTTGTGCTGTTCCAAGCCTGGGGCCAATTTGATAAAATTATGAATGAAAGTTCTTATTTCCCGCCACTGAGGTTCGACTTAGGAATGACCTGCAGGGTCTATATGGGTAAGACGTCGTCGATATATACACATATGTGTATGACGCGGTTATCTGCCGCGTTGCCAATATGTTACATCAGTCCCTTGAGTTAAGATGCATGTTGAAAATATGCGTTTATCCTCTATGCTCAGATAATGGTTTTATTTTGAGTGTACACATTTTTGAACTTTGAATTGTGTCGAATCTGTTTAGGATCGATTCCGGATCGGTCTTAACGATGCTCCATTTGAGGTAGAAATGAAAGGTCAGGTTCGTCACAAATTCTGCAACATTGCATCATAGGTTCGCTTGGCAACACTGCATCTCGTAAATTCTAAGGCATGGTTTCCACCTCCATGATTCGAATTCGATTTTGGTCAGTACCCATCTAGGGCCCTTCGAAATGGTTTTCACCTGCGTACACGCAGGCAGTGATAACTTGTATTGCGTATTGCGTAATGGTATTTTTTTTTTTATACTCCAACTACCACGAAGGCCTAAGGCCTAAGCACCCATTGGGTACCGTGGGGCTATAGGGGGATTCATGGGAAAGGGGGAACGCCACACGGACTCTGGCGAGGGAACACGTGTGCATGCAACATGCACACATTCTGGCTCCGCCTACGAGATCCGCCGGGTGGTACCTCCGCGTTCGACAGTCAGAGACCGTCTACCACCTACGGACAATCACAACATCCATAGCCAAGAGAAAAATTTCTCCTGGGACGGGACTCGAACCCACACAGCGCACGGCGACTAATCAGGAGACCGAAGAGTCTACTACTGCGGCCACCGCTGCTGCCTAAATCTTGTCAGTGTCTCAAAATGTAACAGTAACTTCTGGTGCAAAACATTGGCCAACGCGGCAGTGAGGTGATGGACCTTGGCTCTTCAGCCGGCTTCTATCTCTTTCTAACATGTGTTGATTTACACTTCTCGCGCTTCTCAATCGTACACAACAAATTTGGTTTTTCCTGTATCGAGTATACTTTTGGAACAAGATGTGACGAATTGAATATGACTGAGTGTAAGATCGCATTTAGCTGCTTGTCTGTCAAAAATTAACATTATGCTATTTAATCATTGATTTCGATGTGTCAAAAGTATATGTTGTACAAGAGTCGGAAGGTGTTCAGTAGTGTTAGAAACGTGGACGCCATCTCTGGAGTAGTATCGCAATCTTGAAATGGGCAACAAACATAGCTAGTGCGAGCTACTGATGCCTAGTGCGTAATTTAGATTTCACAAACATCAAAGTGTAATATGAGAAATCGTGATTTGATATAATGAATTGCAGTCTGACAATTGCAATGGTAACTGAGTAATAAGGGAGTGGGTATATAACTGCATTTCTAACGTGTACCGTGCTGAAGTTACACAGGGGCACAAATGATAAGATGCAGCTCAAATACCAAATTTTCTCGCCTGCGACTTTAACGGACAGTGACAGTGGTAGGTTCAGCAGAAGTTAGTGTAGCTAATAATCTCTGGCAGAAGTCAAACATGATCAAGGTATTTCCGTATCATTTTCTAGTCTTGGCAGCTTTGGGCTAAGCTACAGTATGAAGTCGACATACAGGGTTTGTCCGGAAAGTAATAGGACTCATTTTCTTCCGCCATGACTGTACTTCGGAGCGTCCGCGTACCGACTGGATTCGGTAGAGGGCGTTCCTAGCTAACGAATGGTCATTTGCCTCCGAGCACTTGGAGAGTCAGGACAGGCATTTTCACGTGTTTCTGTGAGTGGTGCAAGCCGAAAATGCAGCGTTCGTTAGAGCAGAGGTACGCGATTAAATTCTGTGTGACATTCGGTAAATCTGCGACAGAGACGTTTGATATGATCAAGCAGGCTTACCCAGGTGTTGCTTTAGCAAGAAGAGGTTTAATTGCCCAGATGTTAAATTTACCAAAATCTGTGGTTCATGAAATTGTGACGCAGCATTTGAACATGCGCAAGGTGTGCGCAAAGATGGTCCCAAAAGTGCTCAGTGACGACCAGAAATTGCGGCGAGTGGAAGTGTGCCAAGAAAATATGAATATGTGTGAAAGTGACCCCTGATTTTTAAATTAATAACGTAATTACAGGTGACGAGTCGTGGATCTTTGAGTATGATCCCGAGACAAAGAGGCAATGTTCCGAGTGACATACGACGGTGTCTCCTCTCCCAAAAAAGGGAAGAATGAGCAAATCCAAAGTGAGAACGATGCTCATTGTCGTTTTTGACATCAAAGGCATCGTCCACCATGAATTTGTTCCTCCTGGACAAACCGTCAACGCCAAGTTCTACATGGAAGTGCTCAGGAGACTCAAGCGAAGGGTCAGTCGGGTCCGACAAGACATCGCAGCCGACTGGAAGGTGCACCACGACAACGCCCCGGCTGACACCGCCTTTCTTGTGCTACCTGACCAAGGCCGACATCCCAACGCTTCCGCAGCCGCCCTACAGCCCAGATGTGGTTCCTCGCCTGAAAAGGCCGATGAAAAGCAAGCACTTTGAGACGACAGAGGGGATCCAAGCAGCATGCACCGCGGCTCTCAAGGCTATACCAAGAACGCCTTCCGTGACGCCTTCAATGCTGGGAAATCGCGCTCCTTCTGCATCGACGCAGAAGGAGCCAATTTTGAAAGTTTTGAAAGAATTGTAACGATTGGCTCAATAAATTTTTTTAAATCGACTCAGTCCTATTACTTTCCGGACAAACCCTGTAGATAAGAGGAGGCGTTTTAGGGCCGTATACGAGCCCCTTCCCACTTCAGTTGACCCAACTATTGAAATCTTAGTTGTTTTCTTATCAAACACAAATAATAAAAATGTAGCAGCGTGTTATAGGTTTAAAATACTAACAATGAATTTTTTGATAATATATAGTAGAAAACACCAACTTTATCACTCCCTAATCAAATTTGCAGCATAAAAATAACACATGTTGCAATTACAGCATATCAAAATATTTTCATTTCAATGCAAAATAAGTCTATAACGCATAGGTGGCTGTGAAAAATAAAAGCCATGACAATTGTTTTTATTATTCACAGCTGTCAGAATACGTTTACAATAGTTTTGAGTAGTTGAGGTTTTCAAAACGGGTAGAGGAAAGGTTATTAGTGAGAAAATTCGGTTACTGATAATTAAATTTTTTAATTCTGGGAAATCAAACTCAGAAATTGCAACTTTGTTAGACTTATCACGGTACAGTGTGAGAAATATTGTTAGAAGATATAACGTAACTGGTTCAGTTAATATTAAGCCACGATATGTGAAAAAAAGTAATATCACAAATGCCGACCGAAGAGCATTAAGAAGAATAATCGTGAAAAACAGGCGTGCTAATTATTTACAATTAAGTGCTCTGTGGAGTGACGCTGTTGGAAGGAGAATTTCGAGGTCCACAACTCATAGAGAGGCCCACAAACTGGGATTTAGCACTTGCAAGGTAAGTTTTCTTATAAAAAAAGTCAAGTAAAAACCCTAAAGTTGTACAACTTGTTTATAGGCCATAGAAAAGCCACTATTAACTCCACTGCGAAAGAAAAATCGGCTTAGATGGGCTAAAGAACATAGACAAAGGACACCTCAACAATGGAGTGATGAGGCCCGATTCGAAGTTTGTGTTGGTGACAGTCGCAGTAGAGTTATTCGCAAAAAAATGAAGCATTCCATGTTGACTGCCTGAAGAGAAAAGTGAAATTTCCAGCATCCATTATGTTCTGGGGCAGTATGTCATCAAAAGGAGTAGGAAAACTTCATTTTATTGATGGAAATGTGGATACAAACAAATATTTGGCAATTTTAGAAGAATCGCTTTCACCAGTGATGGAAGAATGTTTGACATCCGGCCAAGATTTTGTGTTTCAGCAAGATGGTGCAGCATGCAATACCTCAAACAATGCTATAAAATGGATGGAAGGAAATAATGTACCACTTTTGAAATGGGTTTCTAGCAGTCCAGATCTGTC